AAATTATCTTGTGATGTAGATATATGCTTCTGAATATCTTTTTCCAGCATTATTAAACTTCTCAGGAGTTAGAGAATTGTCCCGGTTTGTATTTTTGATGATCAAGACAAAAGAATGACTTTATTTATCAATGTTTCTTATGTGATTTAGATTGTCAGAAAATTTTCATCAAAATAGTTATTACTATATAAACATTGACCTTTTGTTTTACTGATTTTACTATTTCTTAATATTTCAGTATTTTCAACGAAGAAAAGTTCATATGACTTGTAATAACGTCAGTTGAAATTTGAATTATTTTAATTTTTATTATTTATTTAATAGATAATTTTTATGAGATAAATATTCTCATATATATATATATTTATATATATTTATGAGTAGGTATTTATATGTCACGAATGTATTATCAAGTTAATAAGATCTTTTAACTTCAAAATATATTATTTTAAAATGTTCCAAGTTCTTTTAAGAAAAAACTCACATCAAATGTGAAAATATGTGAATATATATGAATCATTTAAAATTTAGCATTAACAAAATAAATTTTATATTTTGTAGTAATGAATAAACATTTTCATTTTGTCCCTACACTAAATTAAATCTAATAACTATAAAAAATAGTAACATTAATTAATAAGTCATATTTATTTATGTAAGTATAAAAGTTATTAGTAATTCATCTATTGCACATTAATTCTTTAGTAATAACATTATAAATTCTCTTAGTTATTACTACTTATTGTTAATTATTGCAAACATTATTCACACTCTTTTACATTCTTTAGTTATATTATTATGAATTCTCATAGTTATTACATTAATTATTTATATCTTTCATCTTTCTTTATATAAACTTTTTATCAATAATTTTTCGTATTACTATACCACCCCTATATATATATGTGTGTGTGTGTGATAACACGATGTTGTTATTTTTCCTTGGACGAATCATGCTGGTTAGATGACAAGAAAAATACACAACAAATGTCGTCTTTAAGGTAATATTAGTGAGATACGAATAATTACATGGTTTAACCTCATCAAATTGAAATAAATAGATACATTATTGCATTTAACTAATAAAAATTTTCATTGACCACCTTCATAGGTTCGCGTGAATAAGAGATATACATGACGTTCTACAGTGAACTTTCACAAAGGAATCTGCAATATTATTTTGAGCAAAACTTATTATTCAAATCTTCACTTAAATTTTCTGAATTTATAATCACGTGCAATGCACGTGTCGAAAAACTATTATATATATATATATATATATATATATAATTTTTTTCCTTATATTTAAACTTTTTTTTAACTACATTCATTGTTTTTACTCTCTTTTGTTTCATTTGATTTTTTATTATTCTTTTTGTTTTCTTTGTCTTTCCTTTTGATTTGATTTCAAATTTAATATTAAATGTCTTGTATTAAAAATAAGTTAATTTCATATGGATATCAAAATAAGTGAAGAAAATAAATAAAAAAATAATAAAAAAGTTAAATCGTTAAAATTAAAGAACACTTTTTAAAAATAAAATAAAATAATTAAATACATGTAAATTTTTTAACAAAAAAATGAAAGTGAAAAGTTACAAAATTAATAAAAGGTTAAAAAAAAACTTAAAGTGAGGAGGGAAATAAGTAGTTTACAAAAAATAAATGAAAATAATTAAATTTATATAAGTTTTAATGTCAATAAATATGAGGACTAACTAATTGTAAATAGACCAATTAGAAAAGGACACGTGTCCAATTTTTTCGCTGTTCGCTTGCTTTCATGAGGGTCGTACACTCTCTATGTCATGTAAGCATTTAGGGTATATTTATTTCATTTTGAAATAGTTTACGGGAGTAAAAGGCAGTAGCGGAGCCAGAAATTGTACAAGTACATTTTTTTTTTGGATTAATAAGTGTACTAAAAATTTTAATACTTCCTCCGTTTCAAAAAGAATGGTCTAGTTTGACTAGGCACGAAGTTTAAGAAAATAAAGAAGATTTTTGAATCTTGTGGTCCTAAATTAAAGTTATGTCAAATGTTAAAAATTGTCCTTTAATCTTGTGGCTTTAAACATGCCACGTGGAAAGTTGAAATTAAAATGTTACCAAAAAAAGAAATAGATCATTCTTTTTTAAACTGACTAAAAAGGAAAGGAGATCATTCTTTTTGAAACGCATGGAGTAATTAATATTTTTCTATGAACAAATGTATTCAAATTTATAAAATCAAACTGCATAATATTTAATTTTTAAGGTTCATGTTTAATTTAATACAAGTGAATGAACATAGGAAAAATAAAATAAGAGAGAGGTCAAAATGCAACTTAGAATGAGATCACTTTTACGGTTCAAGCTCCATCAACCTCCGATGGTGACAACATTAACAACAAGATATGAAAAATAAAGAGTAGAATCAAGCGAGTTGATTTTAAAGAAAATTATATATGGAGCTTTTTTCAATTTATAGAAATTATTTAGGGTTCTGCTTATTAACTTTAAATTAAATCATTACTTTTAAATTTTATTTTTAAAAAAAAAACGAATCAAAAGTCAAATTGAATAAAAATCCAATAGGCTGCTAAACTATTTTTTCCCCTTAGATTCTAAAATTGTAGGTCTCTTATTAAGAATTATTTTAATAACTAATATTAATTTTGAATTATTTAAAAAAAACAAAAGCTCCTTTTAAATTGAAAAAAAAATAGACTTAAAGCGAATAAAAAGGCTAAAAAAAAGCTAAGATTCAACGGGCAAACACACTTAACCTTGGCTTCTTCAAGGAGCCTAAATCTCCGAGCAATAAGGTGTCCAAATATGATATTTAAGCATTTCACATATTATTTTACTAGCATTTACGGTATAATTTTCTGATGAAGGGTGTTCGCTTGGTCAGCCTAAGTATACTCTAACTCCGCTCCTTGTAATAGGACCCTGATTAAGTTTTAATTTTAATGTGCAGCCTAAAATTAAAATTAAAATTTTAATGTTCAGCCTAAGTATGTCGTTGAGATTCGATCATAATTTAAGGGGTTACTTATGTCTTAATCCAAAAAAATAACTTCTATCGCATGTTTGTCATAAAATTTAATTAGTAAATAAATCACATATATTTAATTGAATTTTGATTGTCCATATTCATATTCATAAGTTCAGATAGTATCCAACCATGCATGTAATAAGATGACCAATTGATTAATCAAATAAACTTAAACGCTAATTTTCTTATGTATAATTATTTACTCAGATCTTTATATCAATAATGTGATTATACAAAATTACTTATTACATAACTCCGCATGCACGTGCATTACTACTTAAAATATTCTTTTCGCGATATTCTCTTCGTCTCATATTAGTTTATCATTTTCTATTTTGTACGGTGCTTAAGAAATAATAAATAAGAAGATGATTTTACTAGTTTACCCCTTAAAAACTTTTTGGGAATTTTACAAATAAATGTGAACACTTTCAAAAAGAATTAATTGCAAGAATAATATAGAAAAAAATTAATTAATACATTTTTTTATTTAGTAAGGTGATCAACTAATATGAGACAATTATATTTAGGACCCGTTTGGCCCCAAGAATACTCGGAAAAAACTTAAGAAGTGGTGTTTGGTCATATAACTTTGCAAATGTATTTGGGAATTTTAAGAAATTCAAAAATCACCCCAAACATTTATGTTTTATAAAAAAAAATACTCATTATTTATTAATTACAACTAATATTTGTTACTACCTCCTCCGAAAAAGTTTGAGTTCTAATTTGAGTGACAAAATTGAGAAAAAAGAACAATTAGTGTTTAATGAGTTATAATTATAACTGAATCAGTGACAAGTTTGAGTATACAATTAATGTATTGTCTTGCCTATGTTTTTTTTTTTTTTGGAACCATAGGATAATCCGCAGCCGCTACAACCTCTCCCTTCGGGTGAGCACTCTGTGGTGAGCACTTTGTGCACACTGGGTAAACCCCCACTGTGTAAACCCCCACTGTGTAATAGCCTGCAAACCACACAGGGGATGCAAACTGCTCTAGGCAAGCCCTATGCAACAGGCTCGACTCAGAAGGCATTGAAGGGGGATCGATCTCGGGTCTTGCCTATGTTGTTATTTTGTTATTGTTGATCGTTATCAATTATATTATAAGGTTATTTTTTAACGGAACATATGCATTATAAAATGATAATACAAATTTTTGGGTATTTTAATAGTTTTTAGAACTTATGAGTATAAATCATCTTTTCTGAAATAGTCAAATATTCTTGAAAAAAATTGGGGCCAAACATGTGGTGTAATTTCACCAAAAACTTGGTTCAAATATTCTTTACCAAAAATATTTGTAAACTTAGAATTAAACGCTAGCTTAATATAATGATCAACCAATATGGTTGGGGAGTATCAGCTACTCCCTTACTAGAAGTGTCTCCACTGATGTGCCCACCCACTACTAGTCATGAATATCACCCGTGCAGTATCATAAAAATTATTTATTTTTAACAATATAGTATATAATAAGAAGAAGAAACATGCAACCTATTTACTGAGTCGGGTAGCAGATGAATGATATTAAAACATCTATTTAGTTTTTAAATTTATCAAAAAACTATGGAGAAAAGAGCCTTTTGTTAAATTTTGAAAATTTAAATTCAATCGTGGTGCGGTAGATAAGGTTTTCCTTTTTTAAGTAAAGGTTCCGGGTTCATTTGTAACCTTATTTTTTTATAATCAAAAAGGGAAATGGATGAACATGGCTTCACCATTAATTTTTGAACGAATTCATTGTCTCACAATCATTATGAACCCATAATGATCTAACCCACTTTTAATTAAAGTAATAGTTAAATTATTTAACAAGCAATACTGGCATGAGAAGAAAAAAAAAAGTCGTCGTTTGTAGAAATTGGGCATAACTTCATTTTCATGAACAGTTGGTCATCAATGACAAGTCAGCTGTTATACACAAGTAAAGCTTTTATTAATAATTGCAATTGCAATTGCAATTGCAATGCTGAGTGTATTAAATATGTAGTGTAAAACGAGAGTAGCAATAAACCTCTCATTGAAGAAGCACCAACTAAACCCACATCGTCTCTCATCAATGCTACAATCACATTTTGTGCAACCTTGCAAAAAAACGAAACGCCTCTTGTTTGACCAAAAATGGGGGGAATTTGCTTTGTGGTTTTGCTCCTTCAAATCATAGTTACTGAAGTTGTTGGTGCTGGTGTTGGTGTTGGCGTTGGCGTTGGTGTTGGACCTGGAGGTGTTTGGTTTGGTGGAGGGATCAACAGCCCAAGCCCAGGTGTTGTCCCAAGTCAAAATTCGGCTTACACTGCTCTTCAAGCATGGAAATCTGCAATCACTGATGATCCAATGGGGATTTTGAAGAATTGGATGGGTCCAAATGTGTGTACTTACAGAGGAATTTTCTGCACAAACTCTCAAGATTACATGGGCAACCCAACAGACCCAGTTGTTACAGGTATAGATCTCAATCATGCAAATCTTCAAGGCACTCTTGTTAAAGAACTGTCTTACTTAACATATATTTCTCTCATTCACCTCAATACCAACAGATTTTCAGGTATAATTCCACAAACATTCAGAGATCTGTCTTCACTCATTGAATTAGACCTTAGTAACAACCATTTCTCTGGTCCATTCCCTACTACAGTACTATTCATCCCAAATCTTCTTTATTTAGATCTCAGATTCAACAGTTTCACAGGGCCAATTCCTGAGGATCTGTTCAACAGAAAACTTGATGCTATTTTTCTTAATAATAACCAGTTTGATGGTGAACTACCTCAGAGTTTAGGGAATTCCCCTGCTTCAGTGATTAATTTTGCTAATAATAAGTTTAGTGGGAACATTCCTTTTAGTTTAGGGTACATGGGTCCGAGAATTAAGGAGATTTTGTTCTTAAACAACGACTTAAATGGTTGTATACCAGAAGGCGTGGGATTGTGGACGGATTTGCAAGTTCTAGATGTGAGTTTCAATTCACTAATGGGGCATTTGCCTGATACCCTTTCTTGTTTGAGTGGCATTGAGGTTCTCAACTTGGGACATAACAAGTTATCTGGAGATTTACCAGACTTGGTTTGTTCACTAAGAAACCTTGTGAATTTGACTCTTGCTTACAATTTCTTCTCTGAGTTGAGCCAGGATTGTGATAAACTTCCTTTGAGAAATGTGGGTATTGATTTCTCATTGAACTGTATTCCAGGAAGACAAATGCAAAGGCCTCAACCTGAATGCTCTGTCATTCCAGGTGGAAGTCTCAATTGCCTTAGAGTACCTGCAGTAAAGCCTCTTGTTTGTGGATGAAAAAACTGCTACTGCCTGACTTAGTCGGACTCCAACGTGGGTACCGAACACCCGGTGGAAAAAAAAAAATCACTACTACTACTATTTTATTTATTTATGAGTGACAACAATTGAGCACTATCATCAATGTTTTTGTTGTAAACCTGGTTATCTTGGCCTAGCACACGCAAGTTATGACTTGTACCTTTCAAATTTATTTCTCTTCCTTATTTCTTTATGTTGCATTATGAATTGTAAATACTAGTATTAAATTAGGACACTTATATATGGGTTTCACCCACCTCTAGTAATCATAATTCCTCATCAGTAGTCGGGGATTCTCACACTGCGGATCAACTTAATTTTTTTGTCTACAATCTAGATATATATTCTTTAGGAATGTAGGGTGTCCGTCATCTAATATGGAAAACTAGGGATGGCAATGAGGTGGTGCGGGATGGCGGGAAAGCGGGTTGAGCTTAACCCGCAAAATTCTTAATCCGTCTCGCATTACAAACTTTTTTTTATTTTCAATCTACCCTGTATGAACCCGCCTCACATAATTTTTTTAATATTTTTTTTCTAGTTAAATTTGTTACTAAAAATCAAATTTATAAAAATAAATTCATTTTTTCATTAAGTTATTATTAATTTAATAGGATAGTTACTTAAAAATTCATTTTGTAGAGGTTAATTGGGAAACATGTAAGAAATTGTATTATTTTTATTGAACCTTATTTACTATCTTAAATATTTTAGTAGTTTTAAAGAAATTATCTTAATAAATAATATTCTATTGCTATTATAACATGTAAAAAGTTAAAATTAAGTTTGAATCCACATAAAATCACATATACCGTAACCCGTCCCGCCCCACATTAGCTTTAAAAAAGACTCACTTCAATCTGCTCTGCATAGTCTTAAACCCATTTCACATTTCTTTTATCTAGCTTTATATTATATATAAATTGTGTTCGAAGAATTAGTGTGGTCTAGGCTGAATTTGTTGTAGTGTTGAGGGATACTGTTGGAATGCTTTCATTTATTGTCCATATCTTGAAAGGCAAATAACACAAACCAATGACAAAATGGTTGAAATTCATGCTATATATACAAAAATAAAATAAAAACATGATATGTGGTATGTGAAGAAGAGTCACTCCTAAGTCTTATCCTCACTTGTCATGTTGATCATTCATTGTGTTTGAGCATTCAACAACATAGAGGGCCAATAGGGGTGTACAAAATTGAACCGAAAATCGAATCAAACCGTAAATCGAGAAAAAACCCCAACAAGTGGTTGGTTTGATATTGAAAAAAAAAATCCGACCATATTTGTGTTGGTTTGGTTTTAACTAATAGTCAATTTTAGCATCTTTGAAGAATCATATTGAGAAAAAGAAAGAAGCCGATCATTGAATTGATTAACCTGAGATGAGAAATCTATCATGTCCGAGTTCTACGATTCGGGTTCAGAGCGGAGTTTCAAGACAATAAAGAAGTGGTGCTTCTTTCCTGTACTCCAACTCAGTAGCTCATTCCGGATAAGCGAGTGAATTTCAAGCCAGGGAAACTTCCTATTAGGAATGGCTTCCTTTCAGGTTGTGTTGTTACAGACCAGACTGTTCTAACAGGGCAGGGGAGACGGATAACTAATCTAATACAGTACAACTATGATCGGGCAATAGCGCAGATAAGATCAGATATATAATTTTAAAATTTTATTTTATACATAAAAATATTTACTTTGATATAATTTTTAAATATTTCTTATACTTTTCCATAGTTTTTATCTTTTAATATATTATTTCAAGTTTGGAACTTAGAATTCGAAATGATTCAATAAAGATTATAGTCCACGGATGTTGGTAATTATAATAAAGCTTAAATCAAAATCAAATTAATACTAATGCAAAAAGAAAATCAATTCAACACTAAGAATGACAATAATATTGAATATTTGTTCTTTAGTTTTACATTGGTTTAGACAATTAAAATACATAACCTAATTTAATTTCCTTTAATATTTAGTCATGTAACTAATACTTATTAAACTTAATTTTAGCATGATTTAGTACTTTTAAATTATGATCATTTTCATTATGACTTGTTAATTTACAATATTTGTTTTACGCGATTTCATTATTATTATTATTTTTGGATATTTTAGTGTCATTAATCATATCATATTGTGTTATATTTTTAACAAAAAAACCCGAAAATCCGAAAAACCCAAAAACACTCGAGGTTGAAAAATCCGAATTTTATTAGTTTGGTATATAGATTTAAAAATTCGACACAAATGATTTGGTTTGATATTTGAAAAACTCGAACCAACCCGGTCATGTACACCCCTAAGGGTCATAACTTAAGCCTTTCGTAGTATGGAAAGAAAAGCAGTGGAAGCGGGTTTAAATACGAAGAAGAAAATTCACAAAAACACTAAAAAAATTAGTGGCGGACCTAAAATTTTTATCAAACGGATGAAGAAGAAAACTACAAAAAAAAAACTAAAAAATTAGTGTATTGTTGTCTGGTTTCGAACCCGGGCACTTCCACAAAAAAAGAACCTCACTTTACCAATGGACAAAAGGCTATTATTTGTTTAGATGGGGTCAATTTTTTTATTTATACGCATATATTTTTTAGATGACAAACAGAATAAATTTATATATACAGTGTAATTTTTTACAGAGTGATTAATATAAATCCTCTTAACCCAACGTGGAAAAGATATATCAAAAAAATAAAATAAGAAAAAACAATGTGCTGTCATACACATGTGAACAATTTCACGTGGGAAACAAATGACTTGGTAGCTCACATGTCATTTTCCCACCCATTTGCTCCCAATAACCAAAATTTTACATAACTAATGCCAGCCTTTTAATTTACCTAGTAATTGAGTTTGCTTTCAAATCTCTAGTCATTTTAAGGGTTTCGTTTGGTGGCAATTCTTACATCATTAGTAATTTGGAGATTGTAATATGCTCATTATTTTTCATTGAATGTTTAATTTTATATATTGCAAATTGATATACAATATATATATATCAATTTGTATTTTTGGTTTTCCTGATTTGTTTTGTTGAATTGGGTCACTTTAGACCTGGATCGGTTTTTTTTTAATAAATGGGCTGGGACCCGACTTGAAATAAAAAAAGAAGAAGATATACAATATATAATTTTGAATATTTTGAAACATAATAAAAACAAAATGTTCTTACCATTATGCGGATTAGTTTTTTCATTAAACTATATACTATTATTACTCACATTAAATGTCCTTCCCTCACGAGTGTTGAGTTCAAAATAATTAGGGTGTTATGGGGAAATTTACAATGTAAAATTTTTATAAATGACATTTATAAGAAGAATATTTTCAAGTTATAGCAGTAGAATAAAACTTTCAAGTTGTAACAATAAAAAATTTCAGGTTGTAACAGTTTATTAAAAAAAAGTTTTTTTAATTAATTGTAGAAAATCAGTTTTGAAAAAAAAAGATAAAAAAGGAAAACAAATCGATTTTGAAAAAAAAGAAGAAGATAAAAAACGGATAAAGGTATACTAATTATTTTTGAATTCATTGATGATAATTGTTAATTAGCATAAATTTAGGAGATTCAAAACTAATTAGGAATATTTATTTTCCTTATTTCACTCTAATCTATTAACATTAATTAAAAAATCAAATTTTATTCATTTTGTTCAAAGTTTCTCTCTCTTCATTTTTTTTCCAGAATTTTAGTTATAACATTTTACTAAAATAAAAAACGATTTAAAATAACAGTAAAAATCAATTAGTGTGAAAAATAAATAAGGTAAAAATAAATATTTTAGTAGTAAATAATTTGAAAATATTAATGATAATTAATAAGAGACATAAAAATAAAAGAGTCATAACAAAGGAATTATTTTCCTTGTTTAGCTCAAAGTAGTTATTGGCATTTTGGAACAAATTTCTTTTCTTTTCTTCAAACGTTTCTCTCTCTTCTCAATATTTTTGTTGGTTAGTCGTCACTCTCCTCTAATTTCGATTCGTTTTTATTCAATAATCTTCATTTTCTTGTAATGGACGGTTTCTTATCAGCATTAATAAATCATGGTGGTAGATAGAATCCTTCAGGTTAGTGTTCTTTCAGATATTTTATTTGTATTGGTAACAAAATGTAACAAAAATTATGAACATTCAAACTGGAATTTTTTTTAAGATTTCATTTGTGTACAATAGTTTTAATTAAGATGTTTTTTTGTTTTATATACAGTTAGATTTTGATATGAACATTCATTTTTTTGTGTGTGTTTCTGATTTAAAATTACATAAAATTTGTTTTGAATTGATATACTGGTTATACCGTGTTGGTGGGATTCTGTTATTATTTATTTTGGTGGCGTGATTCTGGTATGAATAAGTAAATGACTTGTGACATGAATAGGTATGATTTTGGCATCCAATAGATATGAAAAGTGTGCATAAAAATTGTATGAAATTTGTATACTGATTTTTGATTTTTTGTTGTGTATAATAATTTTAATTATTGCATTTTTTAAAAGTATAATGTTACATTTTGAACATTTAATTTGTTCATTATTTGTCTGAATCAGATATCATTATTTTGGTATGTTTTTGGTTAAAAAAATTACATATATTTTTTTGGAATTTATATACTACTTATAACAGACATGTATGACAATTTATAATGTTTTTGGTATGATTCTGGTATGATTGATTATTTTTTTTGGCATTATATTGGAATGACTTTGGGAATAATAATGTAATGAATTTGATATATTGTGTATTTAATAAATGACAATTAATAGGTAGAAATGGAATTGTTTTTTGTATTATAGTGGCATGATCCTAGTATGAATAATTGATGAATTTTGGCATAAAATTGGTATGAAATGTGTGAATAAATTTGAACGTTGGAAGGGGTTTGCTGATGTGAAATTCAAGAAGTCTAAAGTTACATGCAATACATGTCGTCGAGAGGGCCACAACAGGAAGACATGTTCAAATTACCCTGCACAAAAAAAAGTCATAATTTATAATTGTGACAGACTCATATTTTGATTAATTATTTTGTCTTTTACTAACGAATTATAATTTCAGAACATTTATTATGAGTACTGTAAAATCTGTTTTTATGTATTCATTATATTTCAAATATATAGTGAACAATTTATTAAGTAATGCTGGGATGCAATTGGTATTCATTTGGTATTCAATTGAAGTCACACAAATACTAGTTATTGTAATTTTCAATTAGTATTC